CTGGCCACCATACAGAAAGCTAGAGCTAATGCATTGTCCTCATCACTTCTGAAGCTGATGGAATGGTATTTATTGCTTCCACCTAAGTTTGGGAATCTCAAGATTTGTCTATTTAATCAGTTCTTTGTTTAGCTAGGAGAGCTTTCATTGTCCTGTAGGTTCCAGATGCTAGTGTACCTGCCAGTGCTAATTTAACATTCAGGTGAAGATAAAACAAGTTTCTGAAGGAATGATTATTCAGGAAGATCATATAAACCTCCTACTCCCTTGAGCCTCCCCAGATCCCATGAGAGCTGTAAAGGTGAAAAACATTCCTATCTTTGCCTGACTGTTGTGAGGACTAAATAGGCTATGGTCAGATATGTCCTAGGAAATGATGAGCAGGTGGCCTAACCCCATGGTGGTCCGGAACAATTTAACTTTTACTTTAAGTCAAAATTTTACAATCAAGGAAGGCAGTAGTTTCTCTGGTGTGTGTGTGTGTGTGTGTGTGTGTGTGTGTGTGTGTGTGTTTTGTTTTGTTTTCTAGAAGGAAATAGGATTGAAATAAAATGTCAGTTGGACACTCATGTCTTAAAGCTTTAAAATAAATTTTTTTAAACTATTTTTGAGAGAGATCAAGAGTGTGAGTTGGGGAGGGGCAGAGAGAGAGGGAGAGAAAGAATCCTAAGTAGGCTCTACACTGCCAGTGCAGAGCCTGACGTGGAGCTCAAACCCACGAACCAGGAGATCATTACATGACCCAAAATCAAGAGTTGGATGCCAAAGACTGAGTCACTCAGGTGCCCCTTAAAGCTTTTTTGAAGGAAACATTAGAGAATGAGAATAGTAACTTCCAATAGATAATTTGAACCATAAAGAGGAGAACAAGAGCAGACAAGACTATGTACAAAGGAAATCCAACTCTGAAAATGGTAAAAAAGTACAACAAAACTGATGAATGGCAGACTTAATAAAAAAACAAATGAAACCAAAGTTTGAAAGGATATCGAATCTGGAACCAAAAAGAAAAAATAAATCTCAGAACCCATATACATAGTTGCTTGCTTAACTTAGTATATACAAAGATAAGGAAAAAATACACTATTATTTAACCTCTGAATGCAGCTTTCATTATTTAGACTAGATAACATTGATGAAAAGAATTTAAAAACTGTATAAAATGCTCACAAGTACAAAATACACACACACATATAAATATAAAATACACATGTGTTTAGTGCTGCCTATAGATTATTTTCTAAGGTGTCGTTATAATAATTGTTTGTGTCCGAGGTTAAAGTTTGGATTTGAGATTTGGGCTTTTCAGTTTGAGTATCTTTGAAGTCAAATAAAAGACATTTATATGGAAACATTTATTTCATCAAATCTCCTTTATACTTTTCTGTCACTTACTTTCTTTTATGGCCAGCTTTCCTTGCCACCTGTCCCATTGTTTCTTACCCTTGCACTGTGGGCCACCCCAGTGACTCGCTTTAACCAGTAGAATGTGGTGGAAGCCTAGAAGCTTGCACTCTTGCCCTCTGCAGCACTGCAGTTTGTGAAGAGGCCTGGATTAGCCTTCTTGAAGGGTGAGAGACCACGTGGGCCAAGAGCCAGCAGGCAGCCAGCACCACCAGACTTGTAAATGAATGAGGCTTGCTTAGACCATTTAGCCCCTCGCTTGTCAGATGATTGTAGCTGCAATGAACTGTCAGTCCCCGGCCAGACCTGCAGAACAGCTGCGCTGAGCCCAGCCCAAATTGCTGATCCATGAAATCAGTTCATTACCTTTCCATGCAACAGACTTTCTGGTATCAGAGGGTAACTGTCATGAATCACTTTTATCATCTGCTCCCAGTTTAAACACCTGTACATTCTTTTGATGATCTTTACTCACCTGATATGGTTTCCATGGTTTTCACACCTGGTCACTTTTCTCCAGATATATTCCAGCTTGCCAAATTTCTCTTTAAATTGTGTAGCACACAGAATGGGGAACCACTTCAAATATGATTTGCCACTTTTAATCCTTAGCGTCTTTGTTCTTGTTTTTCCCTAGAGCTCCCTTCTCATGACAAGCCCTAAAGCATTAGCTTCCTCCCCTTACCTCTTGTGCTTTTTAATGTTTATTTTTTACTTATTTTTTAAAAAATTTTAATTTTTTTTAATGTTTTATTTATTTCTAGGAGAGAGAGAGAGAGACAGCGTGAGCAGGGGAGGGCCAGAGAGAGGGAGTCACAGACTGAAACAGGCTCCAGGCTCTGAGCTGGCAGTCAGCACAGAGCCCGACGAGGGGCTCGAACCCACGAACCACAAGATCATGACCTAAGCAAAAGTTGGACGCTTAACCGACTAAGCCACCCAGGCGCCCCTAAAAATTTTAATGTTTTATTTATTTCTGAGAGAGAGAGACAGCATGAGCAGGGGAGGGTCAGAAAGAGAGGGAAACACAGAATCCGAAGCAGACTCCAAGCTCCAAGCTAGCTGTCAGCACAGAGCCCAACGCTGGGCTCTAATCCACTAACCGTGATCAGATCATGACCTGAGCTGAAGTCGGACGCTCAACCGACTGAGGCACCCAGGCGCCCCAATGTTTATTTATTTTTGAGAGACACAGAGTGCAGGTGAGAGAGGGGCAGAGAGAGAGGGAGACACAGGAGCTGAAGCAGCCTCCAGGCCTGCTGTCAGCACAGAGCCGTATGTGGGGCTCAACCTCACAACCCTGAGATCATGACCTGACACAACTGACTGAGCCACCCAGGTGCCCCTCATCTCTCATGCTTTTAACCGCTTCCCCCAAGCAACAGCATTTTCTCATTTCTCAAGATCCAAGTCAAATATCATCTCCTTCATAATACTTTCCTGTCAGATCTTGTTCCCACCCCCAAGTTCTCTTGTCCTTCATCTGTAGATTGGCTGCATCTGGCCCTTTGGCTAGGCTGTGAATTCCTTGAAAGCAGCTATTTTACTTTATTTTTGTACCTTAACTTCACCCAGCACTTGGCATATACTAAATGCTCAATAAATGTTTAATGAGTTAGATAGTTATCTAATAATCTCTGGGTATTAAACTACATTATAACTTCTTGTCTACATTTTTCCACAAGGCTATCAACAGACCATCAGATTCCTATTTAAATCAAAATGTAAGATTACCTCCATTGAATTTTTTTTTAAGTGTTATTATTTATTTTTGAGAGAGGCAGTGGAGGGGCAGAGAGAGAGAATCCCAAGCAGGCTGCATGGTGTCAGTGCAGATCCCCATGCGGGGCTTGTCATGAACCGTGAGATCAGAACCTGAGCTGAAATCAAGAGTGGGACACTCAATTGACTGAGGCACCCAGGAGCCCCTATGCTGCTTTCTTTTTAAATTGGATCAAGCCTTCTGAAGAATTCTGACCAAAATGTTTATTTACTGTTTCTGGAGTATGTTCACTCATTCTTGAAAATTGAGGCATTTGCTTTATTTTGTTTTTTTCATCTTCTTCACTTACAGTAGTTTCATGATTACAAACACACTCCAATGCATTTTATTACTGTGGCATATAAATAGTTTGGGTTGGTAAATTTGATCTCCTGTGTTATAATTATTGATAAAATAATAGTACTTTACACTTGTAAAAAGTACCTTACCATTTGCAAAATGTTTTCCCATATCTTATCTCATTTGAGCCTTACTAGAAGTTCCTGTATCTTATGTAGTGATTACTATCTGTGTTTTTCAGTCAGGAAAACGGTTTAGAGAGATAGGTCATATGACTGGATATCGAAGAGTCAAGAATTGAATCCAAGCTTTTCAGAGCAACCTAGGACATTATTTATGATCTGGGCTCATTCTGTTCTTTTCTGATTAAAGATAACTCTTCTCATGAAGAAGAAACAAACACAGTTGAACAGCTCTGCTTTTCTCTTTGCATTTCCTTTTCTTGTCATTCTCCCAATCTTTTTTTTCTTCCAACCTTTCTCTTTTTTATATTCTTTTTTCCCCCCTTTTATTCAGAGTGTATTCATTTTGTCATATATTCTGGTTACCTATTAAATTTGTCTTGGTGCTGCAGGGAAAAAGAAACCAACGCTCATTGTGTCAGGTGCCACATTTCATGTTTTGCATGTTATTAGCTCATAACCTAGCAAGATAGGTGAAATTATACTTGATTTTTACAGATGAGAGGAAGCTCAGAGGTTTACCCAGTTACTACTACTGTAATATGCATCTTACCCAACGCACCACCAAATTGTCTGAATAAGGATTTCAAGTGGAAACATCTTCTCTTTGATTTTGTGCAGACTTTAGTATGTTTTTTGTTTGTTTTGTTTTATACGGGGCACTCCATGATACTTTTCCTTTTTTTCCGTGATATTTTCATATTCAGAGAAATGTGATAGAAATTTAAGAAGGCATGGAGAATGCTGGGTCTACCTCTTTCCTTCTCTTGCTGTGCTTTTTTTCATTTGGGTTAGGTCACTGTGAAAATGTAAATATGTTACCTTATTGGGGTGGTGCATACACATACACACATCACTTTTATCTACATAATACCTCAGCAAGAACTAGTTTCTCAGATGGGTCCTTACAGAGAGCAGAGCCCCAGGGAGAGGGACCCAGGACAAGGGAAAGCCTGTGGGGGAAGGGAGGGGCCGCAGCCCTGGAGCATGGCACCCGGGGGCAGGACTGTGGGGGGTACTGGTACCTCACTGCACAATGGCTGGGAGGACTAGTGCCCGCAGTCATCGTGCCTTCTTCTTAACCTTCGAGTTGTGTCTAGAGTCATTTTGGTGCAGCAGAAGTCAATGTGGTGACCACACTTCTGAGTTTTAGGAGTTGTGCTGCACACACAGCCGCCTCTCAGTTTTCTCCTGCCTCCTATGAATAACAAGCATCTCTCTCCTTAAATTGAATTTCAGCAACACACAACCTGGTGGACTCATAAACCACTAAATGTTAGAGATGGAAGGAAATAATTTCTATAATGACTGTGACTAGTCATAAAGTAATCTCTTATTTCCCCACTTTCTAGACAATTGCAACACGACTTTCCCAGGGCTCTGATTTTCAGCACGGATGATTTTTTCTTCAGGGAAGATGGTGCCTATGAGTTCAATCCTGACTTCCTGGAGGAAGCGCATAAGTGGAACCAGAAAAGAGGTGACAAATTCCTTTCCAAACTCCCGGGAAACCCTATTGTGCACATAGAATACGTTTTATGGAAGGAATGTAGTAAAACGTTCTGCTATCCTTCCCTTCCCAAAGAGAATGCCAGAGCATAACCTCCCTAGATTACAGGAAAAAGAAAATTATTGATAATGGGTTCTGAAATAGGTGGCACTAAAGTTGTGTAATGAGGACATCCTGTGATAAAAATAAAATGTGGAGTACGCTCACCCTTCTGATTGTTGCATGTTGCTCACTGTTATATAACATTGTGTTGCAGCCAGAAAAGCAATGAGGAATGGCATATCCCCCATTATTATTGATAATACCAACCTCCACGCCTGGGAAATGAAGCCCTATGCAGTCATGGTAGGAACCAGCATCATTCTGATTTCTCAGTTCCAGAAATTTTGTGAGAAAATTGAACCATTTGTTCTTTCCTCTTTTTCTGATCTGCCATGATCTCATCTTGATTAATAGTAGTTCTCTCAGAGAGCAGGTAAACAGGTTTTATTTTAATGTTTATTGTTGAATGGCTGAAACTTGCTGAGATGCTAACAACCCCTTAGGGTACGTTTTTAAATACTCCTTGGTCCAAATTCTTGATAGTTTTTCTGTCTTGCTTTTCGAAGGGGAGACATATATACACAGGGGCGCCCTCTGAAACTTGCAGAGAAATATTGGGGTAGGTGGTGCTTCTTGGCCAAGTTGTAGATTATATTAACAGGACACTGAAATCCCACACAAGCAGGGATTTTAGTACTGCTTAGTGTTGCCGCATGAGAGTCCCGGGGCAACATTTTTCTTTTTTAAACAGACTTAGGATTAACACTGTAACCCTATTAAGATACTAGAATACAAATATAAATATACAAAGATAACAACTTAGTTCCCCTATTGTCAGAATAGAAAAGAACAGTAAGAGGAACAAAACTATGTTTGTATTTTAAATTATGCTCTATTTTCAGACATATTTCACCTTTTCTGGTAATAAGTTCTCATTCCCTATTGGGCATATAGACAGGAGAAAAGATCCTGAAACACACAGGTCAAGAAGACGAGAGCTGAGTAGTCTAATTTTGTTACACATAATACCCACTTGTCTGACTGTAAAGTGAAGATCTCTGAGAAACTGGGCTCGTGGCATCTATTTATGGCTTCATTTTAATCTGGGGGCAAAAGGGCTTACATACAGGTGTGCTTTTCTCCAACTGTACATCCATCAGGTTTACTTAGGCCCCGCCTATGGGACTTTGGGTGAATGTAGGAAGGAATGAACATCAACTTCGTAGTTACTTCAGTTCATGGACCAAGAGTCCACTTGGGGGAGAAACCAATGGGGACATGAACAGTCAAGTTAATTAAGGCACAACTCGAAACCAACAGTTAGTGGGAGAGTGGCTTAAGGAAAAACATCATCTTATTTTTTTATTATCTGGAATGTACAATGTTCTTTTTTTTTTTTTTTAATTTTTTTTAATGTCTATTTATTTTTGAGAGAGAGACAGAGCATGAGCAGGGGAGGGGTAGAGAGAGAGGGAGACAAAGAATCCAAAGCAGACTCCAGGCTCTGAGCTGTCAGCACAGAGCCCGACACGGGGCTTGAACCCACCAACCAAGAGATCATGACCTGAGCTGAAGTCAGACGCCAAACCGACTGAGCCACCCAGGTGCCCCTGGAATGTACAATGTTCTTAAGCCACCCACAGCTATTATTAAGACCCAGAAATTAGGTATTTTCCAGATATGATATCTGAATCTTTTTCTAATTAGAAGGGTCCATTCTCAATGTCAAGAATGAAGAGAAAATCTTTTAGATGTTTTGTTTCTGTATTTTATAACACAATAAACAATAGTGACGATAGAGGTCACATTTTGAGATAAAAAAGGAGTAGGCAATTTATGAATGTAAAGACTATTTGGATGTTTATATGCAGACTGTACACCTGAGGAAAATGGGGTGTTGTGCTTTGGACCAGACTGTAGTACATAGTGGTGAAAGCCCCTCTTGGCGGGAAGAGTTTCTCAAGAGTATTGGGAGGGGCGCCTGGGTGGCTTAGTCGGTTAAGCGTCCGACTTTCGCTTAGGTCATGTACCTGCGGTTCGTGGGTTCGAGCCCCGCGTCGGGCTCTGTGCTGACTGCCAGCTCAGAGCCTGGAGCCTGTTTCAGTCTGTGACTCCCTCTCTCTCTGACCCTCCCCTGCTCACGCTCGCTCTCTCTCTCTCCTAGAAATAGATAAAACATTTAAAAAAAAAAAAAGAGTATTGGGAAATCACTTTTATCGCATAAGGTCTGTTCCTAGGGCACCCTCACTTTCCAGCTGAGGCATGAGGAATGGGACAAGGCATTTGGCCGAGGGAAACTCAGTGATAATCACATAAGGGACTTTGAGGAGCCCCTGAATTCACTTCTCATATGTGTGGACAGGATATTTAAAACTAGTTCAGCTATCTTTTTTAAAAAGTCCCCAAACAAAAAACCTTTATCATTTTCCTACGTAGTAGACATAATTGACCAAAATTTATCATTGGGAACCATAATATAATCTGAGTGTGGCTAAGTATGGAAATGAACCAACAGTACTTGTTAAGATAAACTAAAGCCTTGGATTACTGGTAAAATGAAAGGACTTTTAGAAAAGATTTATAGTAAATGTTAAATGGCAGCATAAACATTCCCAAACATACATACCATGTCTTCAATGTTTTATGTACTTTTGAAAAATCAGGCACTTGAAAATAACTATGAAGTTATATTCCGAGAACCTGACACTCGCTGGAAATTCAACGTTCAAGAGTTAGCAAGGTACTTCTTTGTTTTTCTAGTTCCTCATTATGTATCCTGCTGTTTTCAGGTATTTCAGACCGAACAAAAGAATCTTTTCAGGCTGGAAATGGACATGGTAGTTTTCAGGCCAGAAATGGTAATTCTTGGAAATTGATAACTTCGGATTTATTAATGTGAAGACTTTAGTTTTGGGTCAGTTTTCTAATATAATGCTAAATGCTATACTTTGGCTTGGACTTGGTCCTTTTAAAGGACACATTTAACTTTCTGCTAAAATGCTTCTTCATTAATGAACGTTTGAAAGCACTTTTCTCTGCATGAGATTGCACATGTCAGTGGTGTTTTTGCATTGAGGTTAAATAAAGATCTTTAGATGTTGAACAGTCTGTGGTTCATTTATGACCTAGATGCTGCTTCTAATTTATAAAGCAGTAAGTATCCAAATAATACTAACTTGTTGATTGAGTGCATGGGTGTTGATACTCACTGTGCTATTTGATAATGTCAATGATTTAAAGTAATCAGTGAGATCAGAATTTACTTTTTAGGAATAAGACTGATTTATCCTATAGTTACAAGCAGATAGTGCTTCCAGAATGGGTCTGTGGCCCAAACCATCAGGATTGCCTGGGGTGGTTGTAAAAATCCTAGTTCATGGGCCCCACGCCACAGTGGGAGTTTCTGGTAATTGCATTTTGAACTATATCCCCAGTTGATTCTGATGTCCACTTGAATTTAAGATTATTTTAATTAGCATCTAGAAGTATCTCGAACTGATACAAATTGATTATAGATATATGCATTGATTAACAGGCAAATATATAATAAATAGATCTCATGGTGTTCTTTTATACCTTGAAGCACAGAATTGAGATATCCAAAAACAAAGCATTTCTGAAACTCTGTTAGCTTTAGAGCAGCAGAAAAAAACTGGAGTGGAGCCTGAAAGATAACTCCTTAAAGAGATGTTATGCTTTAGTGAGAGTTAAATCCTGAGGCTAGGGATTGATATTGATATAATGATGCAGGACTTGTAAAATACATGTAACTCCTTTTGATATACTGCCTTAAGTACATGTTTGCATTTTTCGATGCAGAAGGAACATTCACGGAGTCCCAAGAGAAAAAATACATCGAATGAAGGAACGGTATGAACACGGTGTTACCTTTCACAGTGTGCTTCATGCGGAAAAGCCCAGCAGAATGAACAGAAACCAGGACAGGAATAACCCATCGCCTTCCGACCGGGCCAGATACTGGAACGCCTGCGCGGAGTTTCCAACCCGGAGGGCTCACAGTGGCTTCACAAACGAGAGCGCCTGTAACAGAAGAGGTGGCTGTCACCATGGATATTAGAGGCCTACCGTACAGGCATTCACAGTTTTCCTAAATCAGTTTTTACCGCAACTTTTGGTATTTATTCTTTGTTCTGTTTTAGCCAGAGCTCTAATTCCGGTGTAAATAGTCGGACCTGAAAGTTTTTCGGCAGAGGTCATTATATTCATTTTCAACAAGCATTTGTTAAAAGGGATACTATATACATGGTCTGATGCTGGAATTCTGATTTGATTAAACAAAGTCACTTTCTCTAGGGTAACAATTAATTGGAAACAGAAACCTGAGAACGTACCCAGTCACATAAGTTCAATATATAGAAGTTTCAGTACCACTTTTTCAGAAGTAATCTATTTTTCCAGGAAATTCATCTCCACCAGGAAAGTTTGAAAGGTGGGGAAGTGGGAGACAGGAAAATGTTAGTGCCGTTGCTACTTTGATAATCTATGTATCCAAAAATGTGAGATGTGTGGCTGTCATGATGATAGTGATTTTCCTTTAAAATGCATTTGCTAGATAGCATATGTCTAAGGGAATATCGCTCTTCAAAGTAGACACTTTGACAAATTATTCCTTTATTCTTGTGATGTGTCATTGTTGAAAAGGTCTGTTGGACCCTTCTCAATAGCTCTAAAAGCTACGGAGGAAAATCAGTGTCATTATTTCAAGTCACATCTTGTGTTTTAACTGCCACTTTATCAAATAGGATGAAACCTGATTAACTTTCTTGGCTGTTGTGCTAATAGTGTAAATTAAAGAAGCCTGACTTTATAAACACCAGTTTTAAAGAGGAAAGAATTCAGCAGTTATTAGATATGTGTATAATCAGTTGACTACCCAAATGTGTGGGAGTACAAGGAAGTAATAAGCATCCCAAGATATAAATCATATAGGGATATGTAAAACTCACGCTCATTATAAGATGAGCAGTCTTGGCATTTTCTGTGGCATTATTTAAGACAATACAGTTCTACCACAAATCTGGGATGCCCCCCGTATACCAATACTGAATTTATGATTCCAAATCAAACCTCAGCAGGTTAGAATCAGATTAATTTGGTGTGAGACCATGATAGATAAGATCATGTAGAATGTATGCTTTATTTTTTGCTGGCCAACAGCTTCTTTCTGATGTTCTGTGAAATATTATTTTAAGTGTCCTATATAATGGTGCTTTTATGGTTATTAAAAATTATATATGGTATTGCTTTATATGAATTTGTCATTGAATCTAGACTTTGTTTCAACGATATAAAAAAATAATTACCTAAATCCCACAGAATTCTACCATATTAAGAACCAGTTTTTCTATATCATAAACTTATTTACCAGTCTTCTTCAGTAAGTAGGAGACAAAAGCAACCTTATACTTTACATGCTTATATAAATTATTTGATCTGTGCACATTGGAAAGACTATTACTTTAGCATCAATACCTGACACTATAGAAATCTTATGGCTTTTTATTCACTTCTTCTGAGCAACCACTATGACATGGCCCCAGGTTTAGACCCAGAGCTTTTAAAGAGCTCGGGAGAGTAGTTTTCCTATTTGTCTCTTTTTTCCCTAGATGACTCTTGAAATACTTGGTTTGGAAGCATAAAAATAATTGATTAAATGCTGCCAACTTTATGCCAGCTAGAAGTGATTTTTTTCTCTCAATTCCCAAGTTTCCTGATTTATCTAATTTTTTGAACACTCAACTTTAACCTGTAGCTTTGTATTATTAATGTTTGCATTGTTCACAGAGCTGGCATAGTGCTTTCTGTCTGAGACAGGCTCTTGTTAAGTGATTGCTGAGTAACACAAATTGCTTTTACCATTTATCCCTTATCCTACGGTGTACATTCTTGACTTTGTAATCATTATCACTTCTTAGGGGATAATATCCGTATATACTTAAGCTTCATATTTTGCTTATATAGCTTCCTATATTTTTTACAACGTATAAAAAAGGAGTGTGTGCATGAGATTTCTCTCTAATGTGTAGTCTAAATGGTAAGGAAGAATGAAGGAGGTACTGGCAGTTCAGGTTAAATTCTCCTAATTCTTTTTGTTCATCTGAGATTCAAGTTTTATTCCCTGTTCCAGAGCAGATCACTTGGTACATGATTAGGATGGGAAGACCAAATTGTTTTGTGACCCAAACTTAAATCACATGTTAATAAGACTGGCAGAACACTTGAGTTAAAAAGAACTGGAGAGTGGACTAGCGTTATGTTAATTTTTAGAGGGGGAGAAAAACCACGGATCACAGTTATGAAAGAAAAAAATTGCTTTTTAAAAGATTTATTCTTGGCTTTGAAATGTGTTTATAATTAGATTTGAAAACACGATATTTTATCTAAATTTAAGACATAGTAAATGGTCTGATTTCAGAGCTTCTCCAACCTATTGGCTCCTGGTTAGAACTGTGTTCTCTTTTCTCTATTAAGCATAAGAAAGTCACAAATGAGAATATCCTCACATATTGAACTATTACTGTCTGCCTTGGTGGTTAGAAAAAAACCAGGTTTAAAGGAGGTACTTGCCGAGTCCTGTGACAGGGCTAAAAATAAAGCAGGTAGAAACAGTGCCAATTTGAAAGAACGATTTTCTCTTAAATTGCAGATGATTATTTTGTTAAAAAAACATTAACACTATGAAATCTGATTTAAAGTATTTGAATTTTTAATTAAAATAATTTCAGAGATCACACTGGAATCATAAAGAGGAATTACACTGAGAATTCTGTTTTTCTTGTAGTTATGCTGACGTGGGGTTGAAGAACGGGTCTTAGAAACCACCACTGCTGTACCTTATGCTTCCTGACGTTTGATCAGGATAGAACTATAAGAAAATCAACACATTCGTTAGGGAAAAACGGGTCACAGTAAGCTATCTCCGAAAAACAAAACAAAACAAAGCCACCTAAAATAGGAACTAAACTAAAAGGAATTACAGGAGTCAAAATAACTGTACTTAGACACCTAGTTTAATTTACTTAAGGATACAATTTAAAGAAAAAGGTATGTTTACTTCGTAAAATAATACTTGATCAAATCCAGTGGCCAAATCCAATCATAAAGATTTAAAGGAGATTTTTTTCTTGATTAGTTAATAAATATACAGTCAATTTTAAGACCTTTAACAAATAAAAGTACAGAGGCAGGCAAAGAGCATTCCTGTGATGGACAGGCACACAGGGAAATCAGAAACTATTTCTTTTCTCGTTATGCGAACACTGATGTGCAATTTGAAACTGTATTTTTTACAAACTGGAGAGGCTGAGTCAGTAACTGATTTATTGTCATATTTGCTTTTGTTGCCTTTGCAGTCTCATAGATATCCTTTTCACTGTACGTGTGTCCTGCACACCAGTGTCCCATCCTTCGGGGCAGGCCTGGGGTTCTCGCAGTCTCTGATCCCAGACGCGGAGGAATGCCTTTTCAGCCTGACATAATCTTTGGAGCTCGTGCAAGCAGTCCTAGGGGAGTCACTGAGAGACAGAAGTTGATTTTCTCCTGCCGAACCAGACAAAAGGGCTTGAGTGTTTATCAATGCAAGTTCTTCATCAGCTATTGAATCACTTTCCAAAAGGGAAGTGTCATTAAATTTAAGTGGAGTTATCTGAGGAGAATTCAACTCTTTTTTCTTTATAGGTGTTTCATATTTGGTGCCACAACTCCGTGGTGGCTGAAATGCCTTCTGTGCAGCTGGAGAAACAAATGTACAAATGGGACTAACAGGTGGAGGTAAAGGCAGTCTACTCAAAAAATCTAAGGCTTTTCTCTTCTTGCAGTTTTTCGGGTCATCCATCTCTTTCTCCCCTTTATAACAAGACTTTGGAGTCATTTGGGCTGGCCCAGGTGTGGGAACAGACTTTACTTTCGGCTTACAAAGTGATAAAGGACTCTGGTGATTCGTCTCACTATTGGGAGAAGACATCTAATAGAAAGACAAAAAGCAGCCTAGTTAATGATGCACTAATATATAAAACATCATTAAGTTAGCTTTTCATTAGAAATATTTAAGCACACAAATACCACACACATTCTCACGCCCATCATGACTCACAGGTCAGATGATTTCAAGAGACACTTATATTATTGTTCTCATTCCAGAAGGAAACAGTTTTGCATAAAGGATATAAAAATGACACAAAAAGAAAGAAGAATGAAGACTAATTGTACTAAAAGACAAAAAAGGAGGCAGGGGAACTTAACTTATGCTTTAATCTTTCTTTTATAAACAACTTAAACAAAGATAAGCATTTTTAAATCATTTTAAGAGCACAGACTGCCTAGGTTCTAATACCTACTTTTCTAGTTTTATGACTTTAGGCAATTGTTCAGCCTCTCTAGGCCATAGTTTCCTCATTTGCAAAACAGAGATGATTTTCATCCCATGGGTTGTGGTGAAGATTAAATGAATTAATATAGATACACTAAGCACCTGTTAGCTACTTGAGATTTAGTCATCAGTCAGTATTACTGACCTTATAGCTTAATTTGCATGTACGGTGATTTAAAGAGTTAAACTGAGCTTAGACACAGCCCTAATTGTATAGAATAGTCAGTTCTCCTAGCAAAAGGACATAGGCAAAACATTACTTTCTATCACATATACTTGCAATGCTAAAAATGAAAGCACCTGTTTGTCAAATTTGCCCCCAGAGAAGGTTACATTCTGGCTTTGATAAACAAGATATAATTTCCAGATTATTTATAGGACCCACATAACAATAAACCATACATTCTAGTCAAGCTTAATTACATTTTACCAAGTTTACTCCATATACACCAGAATACAGTATTGCCTTGATATATATTTATAAAATTCCTTAAGTTAACTTACCAAAACTTTATTCCCTATGCCAAGGACTGTCTGAGCAGTGTGTGGCTCTGAAGCATAGTCTTTCGTCGGGGTGGACAGCCTGGGGTTGTTTGCATTAAGTAGATGCATAAGTATCTTTTCAGCATCATTGCAAAACATATCAATATTCTAAGAAAATAAATTGGAAAAGGTGTTTTGTAAAATGAAAACACACATATTCATGTTTTCAGAAAATGCTGCCTTTAAAACAATAAAAGGTGCAGACCAGAAAAACAGATTGACACACCTAAAATCTGATAGCAACTGTCCAACCATATATTCCTGTAAAAATGCAAAGCCAACATGCTGGAAGGAGAGAGAGAGAGGGTGTGTATATCAGAGAAGGAAAGAGATGGGAGAGATCTTCCCAACCAGCCAGTTTAATTAGCAAGGCATCATGTGGTACTGGATGAGAAGCTGGAGGACTGGGGCTCAAGTTCCGGCTCTATTTCCTAACTAATAGCTGTACATCATCTAACATCTATAGATAACGGCCTGGGTCAGTAGTAAAATGAGAGAACTGCCTCATGTCTGTTCCAAGAACTAATGGAAACAATGTGTAGGTTAAGCCACATAAAACTGTTGTTTCAGAAGTTACAATTGGTCAAATATCAGCAATTTTATATGATTATTATAAAATTATATCTTGTAATTTTATATGATTTAACCTAATTGATGAGAGTATTTTGTAAAACTTGAAAGTGCTGTGTAAATGAAAGTCAGTTGTCTCTGAACTATCCTTGAATAAAACCTAGGAGATAACCTGGGATGTTTTTCCTCTGTATGGAAGCCAAATTGTGAATATGATTCTCACTCCACCCCCAACTTAGAAACCAGATAAATGAGGGTGTTATTCTTTATTATACGTATTGAGTCTTTAGGTAAAATATTACCCAAGCTTCCTTTATACAGCTGGCTACTCTAATGCTTTTAAAATATAATTTTATTTATATATATATTTTGAATAACACACATTTTTAATATTAAACTAAGAGGCTTCTCTTGAATATTCTTTACCGGTTAGCAATGTATAAAATCCAAAACTGTACTGGGAGGCAGCACTGCATAGTGGTTAATAGTCGGGGCTGTGCAGGGGCCTGGGTGGCTCAGTCAGTTAAACATCTGACTTCAGCTCAGGTCTTATCTTGTGGTTTTGTGGGTTTTTGAGTCCTGTGTCTGGCTTGTGCTGACAGCCCAAAGCCTGGAGCTTGCTAAGGATTTTGTGTCTCCCTCTCTCTCTCTGCCCCTCCTCCTCCCTCTCAAAAATAAATAAATATTAAAAAAATATAGTTGGGGCTATGCACTCAAAGAGCTTAAGTATGAATCCTGCTTCTAACAACTTGGCCGTGTGACTTAACCTCACTGTTTTTTTCATCGATAAAATGGAAAAACAGTTCCCTACCTCATAGGATTAGTGGAAGAATTGAATGCAACAGGCTATGAGTAAGGCCTGACATACAGTAAGCACTCTAAACTGTAGCTAATAATTATTACTTGCATATATATCAATGTAAGCATAAAATGTATACATTATCCATGGAAAATAATTTCTTTTTTTTTTTTTAATTTTTTTTAATGTTTTTTATTTATTTCTAGGAGAGAGAGAGAGAGAGACAGCGTGAGCAGGGGAGGGTCAGAGAGAGAGGGAGTCACAGACTGAAACAGGCTCCAGGCTCTGAACTGGCAGTCAGCACAGAGCCCGACGCGGGGCTCGAACCCACGAACCGCGAGATCATGACCTAAGCGAAAGTCGGACGCTTAACCGACTAAGCCACCCAGGCGCCCCGGAAAATAATTTCAGTATTCTCCTACTTGAGATTATTTCAAATCAAGGACAGATATAAACTATAAATTTATAAATTTAGATTTGCAATCTGCAGGTGATTAACTATACTGCTACGAATTGTGGGTAACTATTCTTGCTCCCCCCTTGGCCTGTAGCTCTGAACATCCTCCTCAGAGTTTCTCCTCACTCACCTCCTTCAAATCACTTCCTCCCAGCTGTCGTGCCCCCATCTCCTCAGGCTCAGAAGCAATTCATCTATGAGGAACCCTCACCTTATTTCTCAACTATCCAATTTTCACAGAAGCCACAATTTCCTTGATATTTGACCATCAAAATAAGAAAACACCAAAATGTGTGGTAATGCACAAAGTAATTTTACCTCAATAGTATTTTTCATTTTGTGGAATGTCTCTTGAAAATGGCCCTCTTTTGGACTGGCAGAAAACCTGGAAAAATCTCCAGCAAATAAAGTAGGAATTCCTGATTTAGATTCTGGTCGCCATTGGAGGTTGCTAGCAGCAATTAATGTATGAGGTTTAATAATGTCTTCATTAAGATCAGTCCAGACCTTTATAGCCAATAAATTATGGCATTCATCTGACAAATAGACCAAAGGCGCAAAACCTAAGATGAAACAAAACAAAAAATCCCACTTCATTATATATGTGAGATAAAGTTTTAAAAATGCAAGAAACTTGCAATATGTCCATTTTTTGGTATGCTAATAGTAAAAACAGATCAAAATAACTAAGTTTAGAGAAAGCTCAGAATTTCCAAAATAACCTCTTGCTTATGGTGCTAAAATTTCAGTGTGAATGTGACAACATATTTTGTTACTGAGGCCGTGGAGAAGCAGGTATACTCCTACACTGCTGGTGGGAAAACAAATTTGTGCAACCCTCTAGAGAAAAAATTGGTGGAACCTAGCAAAATGACGCACACTTACCTTTCCACCCAGCAACCCCACTTCTAGTACTCAATTCTGAAGATGTACTTCTAATAATAGTGACATATGTATGAACAAGATTCATGAAAACACTCTGTACAAGGTTGCTCACTGAAGCACAGGAGAGTAGTAGGATAAACAGTGGCACGTTCATATCATTTTATACTATGCAGCTATACATACAAAAAAATGAGGAAGTGCTCTGTA